CACACCCACACCCACGCCCACACCCACACCCACTCACACCCACACCCACACCCACCCGCCCACACCCACACCCACACCCACACCCACACCCACACCCACATCCTCTTTATCGTTCTTTAATCAGTTCTGAGTTTGAAAACAACAATGTGACGATTTTAAGATATAAGAAAGGGGCTTGATGGCATAAATACGCTCTATTCGATTCTTCACATCATCAGTCGTATCGTTTACATACAAAGCACACGCTTTTATACTATTTTTACATGGCATTTCAAGGATAAAGCACAGAATACGGATGTAGTATAAAGTGCAAAATACACAGTAAGGACGCAAAGAGAAGAACAACACATAAAATGACAAGGAATAAGAAAATTAGACACATGCATACAATCCACTCAACAAGTAGCATTACAAAAAAATTTCAACGAAAACTAATGTAATATTCGCAACACGCGTTAAAAAAGAGTCGATATATGTAAAAATTAAATACGTATATACGAACATGTAGTTGTGTGGTTGTGAGGCTGTGATGAGCGTGCATTAATCATCACTTTATCGCCAACATGCACAATCATACATACCCACACCAGCATAGACACAGACCGAGAAACGTTCAAATGTTAAAACGGATTTCAGCGTAAACTAATTTGTATTCAATTCAGAAATGGTACAATACAGAATGCTTAAGCTTTTGAATTAATGAAGAAAATTTATCTTGAAAATAGATTTGTGATCTGCAATATAAAGCTAACTGATGACAGAAGAATGGAATTATGTAAAGATTCTTTTGAATTTTCTATTTGTTCTTCCAATAAAATTCTTGAATTCTTTTTTATACAGTTTGGCGGGTAGCACAAAGATCGGGAATGTACCCATGAGTGGAATGAAAGAAATCACATAAGCACTGAGGTAAAAATATTTCTGCCACAGGCTGGTGATGCAGACTAATGTAAAAGAAAATGTCAATCGCATCAAACTGAGAGTAACTAACCCAATAGGACCACCATACAATGGAACATGCTTTCTGACTAATAGAAGATAGCCTTTCCTGCTCTGGTCTCCGACCAATGCTCTTTTCATTCGTATTGATTTACACATCAAAAATATTGTAGCTAACATATTAGTTGAACTGGGAACTATCAAGTTTACCAGAGTCACCGTCACTCGATAGTACTTAATCCATAAGCATGGAAATGTAATGATGCACCATGTGTGTAAAACGTTGGATCGAGGATCATCAATCAACTTATGTATGAATAGCTCATGCGAATTACTGATCAGAATAACGATTATCAAAAGAAAAACTATGCGCTTAGCCCAGCAAACACTGTCAGACTTCTTAAAAGAAGAACCTTTAGCCATACTGACACAGCGTTCCACCGCTACACATGCCGTCAACCAGTCGAACAACGCCAGACAAGCTGTAAGAAAATATTCAAGACCGATACAGCCCCAAAGAGCAACTGATCGATTGTTAACATTGTATAGTAATGTTCCGAAAAGATAACATAATCGACCGAGAACCACGCATAGACTGAATTGGCCAACTAGTGGTAGACAGAATAAATATACACCACAGCCAAATTCCTGAACTTTGGGCTGTTTAAAAGTTATAAACGACAGAATATTGGACATGAATCCGAGTGTAAGCATTACCACGAAGATACTCAGAACTAGTTTAATTAAAAATGGTTGACTCATTAATGACTCATTTTCAAAAATGTCCTGACCAAGTATACTATCCAATGAGAGTATGTACTGGGATGTTGTCAGTTGACAAAGTGATCCGTATGCGCAGTCGCTACAAACGCAACCAAAGTCCCATATTCCATTCCAATTATTCTGCACACAGCGACCGTTTTTATGGCAGTAATGTGTTGCACAGTGTGTTGACTCTTCTGCAAATACGAGACAGTCTGGTTGGTGATAATTGTCACAGAAACATAAATAAGTATCATCTTTGAAACAGTGAAAGCTATTACTACTTTCACAGATATGATGATAATATTTAATCTTTTTCATTGGAGGGAACCCACGAATGGTTTCATTGGAAAGTAACTCATCGACATGTTGACACCGGTTTGAATCGTAGACTGTCGTCGTAAGTTTTGTGAGGTTGCGTTTGACAATAGCAGCTACGTAATAATTGACATCATTGGAGCCGAAGAAGGTTTGAAGCAAAACGAAGGATGAAAGGTACTGGTAATTAGTGTTGAAAACACGCAGAGGCTTATTTAACTGTATCTTTGAAAGCAATAGACGGTTTTGAACAAACAGAATACCTGGTGTTTCGTCAGTCAAGCTTAGAAAATGCACAATAACAGTAGTAGATATAGGGAAATTGTAAGAATGAAGAGACTGCGAAAAATGAATGTCAATCTGAGCGTCCATCACTTCACACAGAGGCCCAGAATATCCACTACGGCAAGAGCAAGTAAACTGTTTAGTATGTCGTTCATCTAGTGGAACACATACTCCTCCGTGTTGACAATTGACATATCTACACGGATCAAACGATCCTTGACATTCACTCCCGATGCGGCCGAGAGGACACACACAAATCGGAGTTGGTTGCCGACCAATGCATTTTCCAATCCCGCCACATGGGCAGACTGTGGTGATATTGCAGTATCTACCAGACCAACTGTTATCGCATTGACAATACTTGAGATGTAGTGAATTTAGATATTTCATACATGTACCATGGCCACAAGTACCAGTATTGCAAGATTCTGAATCTTTTAGCATTAGATGCAGGACCAATCGGTTGACAGGAAGAAAAGAGAATGGTATGCCAAATAGCCATGCTGCTTTAAATTCAACATTCGATGTAGTAACTAAGAATGCATCGAACCGAACAGACCAATTTCCTTGCTGTTTCGGCGGTGGTTGTGGGTATTTCAGATAAAACATTTGTTTCATTAAGGGAACATGGAGAAATTCTTCATGGTGGAAAATTGTATCGTTAAGCATTAAGTAGGCAACCACACGGATGGTATTTTGTTGATTATGATGTTTACTCATGCTCGCAGGTATATCGATTCGAAGGGTGATTAATAAGCGTTCTGACTGAAATTCGCATCTAGACCCATAATAACTCGGAGGACATAGACACTCGAGTTCGAAGGAGTGTTTTGTGACAATAATGCCACGATTGCAAAACCAGTCGTCGAGTAGATTGTCACTCTCTGGTAGAGAATTATTAACTGACGACACTTGGAAGGAAGGTGAATCAGCGGCAACGCTTCTACTGACTAGTGGAAAATCGATGACAAGAGAAGGATATTCCTCTATTCTATTTAGAGAAAACTGTAACGATCTTATAAATGTTAGGTCACAAAACCATTCATCTTCACCGCCTGGATGACAGTCGATCGCATTATCACACTGCTTGTTTCTTCCAATACACGTTCCATTTTTGCACGAGAACGCTGCATGTTTCACACATGTAGAATTGTAGGCCCATGGACAAGTTGATTCATCATCACCATCAGGACAGTCAATAATTGTATCGCAAAGAGAGATAATTGAGACGCAGTCATTTGTCGAACAACTAAATGAATAAGCTGAATTGGGAAAATCACATGACGTTGTTCGTTCATCGGTTGCTCCCAAACAATCGACAATACCATTTCCGGCTCGATCTTTTGACAAACAACC